ATGTTTTCTCCGAGCTGAACATGTCCAGTCAGCAATCTTCATACCAGAGCTTTATCTGTTACCTTTAGAATTCAGGACCTATCTTTTACTCACAGTTAAGTTCCTTGCAGACTGCTGTCAAGAGTGAAGCTTTCGACCAATTCTCTCCAGGCTGCTTCAAAAAAAGTTAGATATCAGAGCTACAGGCTGCTTCAACAAAAGTTAGATGTCAAACCTATTTTGCTACTTTTTAGGGATAGTTTACAGGAATTGCTACACATCTTGTTGTTATCTTGCAAGTAAGAAGTGCAGTTAACATTTCATAAAGTTTGTTTATGGTATTTTATACTTGATTTCCTAAGTCTGGGCTAGCCTTGACTGCCCTCTCATGCAAGTTTACATGGTCCATCAAAATTTTTGGCATACCTGTGATATGCTTTGTAAGGTTCAGGCCTTGCCATAGTGATGTTGATGTGACAAGTGTCTGTTCATAGCTGCAGGATAGGACAAACATATTCGGTTAGCTCTCCTGGACGACCTATCTTGTTGAGAGCATATCTGTATATTAAGTCTACAAATCCAATTTTCCTGGGAGTCTTTACATGTTTTGTGTTCATTAGTTAATTATTTATGAACCTTAGAAAATCTACCTGACTTGCTTGAATAGGTTAGGTAGGACACTTTTTGGTTTGAATAACCTTCTGAGGTACCCTGTGAGTTATGACTCACAGGGTCAATAAACAGCTCCAGGGTCTTTTTGCTCCCCAGAGAGACATGACCTTTGCATCAATATTAATAAATGTACCACTTGTTATGCCATAGATTATTCGCTCACCTCAAGTATGGGACTTGTAGTAATTTTCAAATAAGTAATAGTTACTGCTTCATTGCAAATGGACTAGATTGTACTTTGTTTTGGTTATTTATGTTGGAGATCTCGCTTCAGGCATTTAAAATGAATCAGATTACTTCTGCAAGATAAATGAGAGGGGAGTGAGTTTTTTTTTTGCCACATAACAGTTAAGTAATTCTTTTACCTTCACAAATGTATGTCATGATATACCCTGCACAAGGCACAAATCTTGCAAGAAACAATACTTATGGTTATAAAAGGATTAAAACATAAAGCTCTGTACAGTAGGTAAAAAAAAGGGGGGGGGGGCTAGCAGTGGTTCCTTGAGTTTCACTAGTGGATTTGAGTTATCTTTTGGTTCTGTGTTACTTCAATGGGAAGTTTCTAGTTAAGGAGTGGGGGGGACCTCATGGGTTCCCTTTTCTTTCTATTTTTTCTGCCTTTTCTTTGCTAACTGACAGTCTATACAGTAGTTGGTTTCACTTGTTCATCTCCATAGGGCATGTTCAATGAATTTTGGCTTTTTGAATACTGACTGCTCTCTTTTTCCATAAGTTCCAGGATCAAAACCTCTTGATTGCACAAAACAAAGGCAACTTTTTGTAGCATCTTTTTGTCTTGTCTTTTCATGATTCTGAAGTCGTTTTTCTAGTACATCCTGTAATCAGGATGGTTTGCTCAGCTAGAACTTAATTTTGAAGGATTGGGCCTAGATTTTAAAGATGGTGGATGAAATCGTTGATAAGAGCATACTTATTTGACCTCTTCTCTAGAGGGCAACAACTGCCGAACCTAGTTCTCATTCAGGACAGGGGCTGATAGAATACCCAAAGGCATTAATAAATCAACCCTGGCTTGCAGTTCAGGGGATTGAAGGTAGATCCTTAACCCCAGTAAGCCACATGTATTACAAGAACTGCATGGTTACTCACTCCACTAGAAAAGAGGATATAAATGCCAAATCCTTCTACTATTTAGAGATTTGTGTGGAATTTGGTGATTTTCTGTTAATTTTGAGAGGCTAGTGGCATTCTCTATTTGTTTAAAAACCACTGATGCCTCCACCCACCAGAATGAGCCTGCTTTATGACAAAATTGTTGAGGTGCAGGTCGTGTAGTAAGCTGTGTGGTGTATGTTTCATTAGACTTCCATCTTTTGGGCAATCTTGACTCCTAATCTCCCTTCACTTAAGGGCAGTGGTTACTGTTGGGTAGTTGGTTAATCTATGGATTAACCCCAGTTGCCTTATTTTGGGAGTTTTCTGGCCCTACCCACCTGGCTTCGACAGGAGTGTTATATGTAAGTAAATTCACAATGGCATGGTAATAAAACAAGTTCACAGAATCAACCTTTTTGCCAGTTTGACTGTAGTTTTGATTATTCCAATAAAAGGTTTAGTTTAGATCTCCGTCTTTTCTGTTGATTAGTCCAACCCTCCATCCTGGAGTGGATTATGACAGGTGTGTTAATTCGGTTACACTCGTTTTATCCCACCCCCCCCCCCTCCCCTCCCAGATTTTGTCTTAAAACCATTTAACCAATCTTTATTAATTTTTTGCCCTTATGCATTTTGATGAGATGTTGCAAAGCTTAACCCTTGATTTTTTTTTCTTGACTTAACCCTGCGGGGCTGTTACTGCCAGCAGTATCCTAACCTGGGGCTTAAGGGTTAAGCCCCCTTACTTTATGACAACAGGCTAATAAATTCTATATTTTTATATTACATACATTTAAAAATATTGTCTTTTGCATTCAGAATTTGGCTTGGTCAAATATAGAATGCAAGTAATGTTATGTAGTACCTTTTAATATAGAATGAATAAAATAATTTCCTTCTCCAATAACTGTGTACCCTTAGTGTGCATAAGGATAATTTCCATGGAAAGGTTTAAAGTTATATTTTTTCTCCCTCTGCCTGAATGTTGAGAATGGTAAACGACTCATAAGCAACTAAATTTTTCTTCTTTTTGCATATTTTATTATTATCTGTTTACTGATTATTCACAAAATTGTAAAAGTGGGGAAAAATGTTGGTCTGCCTTAAGAAAATATTATTAGCTGTGTAAGCAGTACAGTACAGTCACCAACTTATCATTTACTGAGGGACAAATATTGATATCTTCCCTAATGGGATAAACTATATTTCTATAATAGGCTATTATAACCTGCCAAATCTATTACAGTGAGTTCTGCTATAACGCGTGTTTTGATAACGCTAATTTGCTCTAACGCGATTTATGAATTCGGAACAATATTTGTATAACGCGATCGCTTGTTTGCTATAACGCGATTTTTGCTTACTATTTCTCCAATTTTGTGGTATTAACTGTGAATATGGTAAAGAAGAATATCTCCAAAAAGCATTCTGATGATAGAATTCCCGGTGATTATCGTAAAAGAAAGGATATAACACTTGAAGAGAAGCTTGATGTTATCAACCTCAAAATCACCCTTCTCCCCATCAAGTTACATTCATATTTTTTCAAGGTAAAGTGTTAAATTTACTGTATGATTTCATTATTAGATATGAATGTAACATTTATTTAGACTGTGCTATCCTTTGTGTTAGGCTAACTACTAAATTTTTTTCGATTTCGAGTAATCTGCACCTAACCCTATTTTCTCCATAAGCCCTGTTATTTCTATTACGCGATTTTCTATAACACGATATTTTACAAGAACACAATTATCGCTATAGCAGAACTACCTGTAGTAGGATCTTCACAAATAAATTGCATTAGATTTGACCACACTTCATGAGACAACTCACCGACTCATTTATGGAGAAAATTTTATGCTGCGAGTTTATATGTACGTCTTTTCTGTTTGATCAGTTTATGCCTGTAGGTTCCATTAATTTCTTTCCAATAACAGACTCTAACTCTTGCTGCAGTTCTTCCTCTACATTCACATCGATTGTCAGTCCATATTCATACAAGTCCCACTTCTGTCACCATTCACTTGTACAGTTGTGGAAATGTGTTCTACACCCCCTGTGGTAACCTGTGTCTTCAAATGGCCAACCTATATCAAACCTATCCCTCAGTCATGTCCGTCGGTACATGACCAATTACCCATTCATTCATAAATAGTGATAGTGTTACTGCGACATTACCGTTTGGAGACATGGGTTACCACGGGGTATATGAACACATTTCCGTAAATGTACCTATACTCAATCCACATTAACACCTCATTATGCTACCGTCTGCATTCACTTGGTCCACTTCTCAATCCTCATGCTCCTGGTCCACTATTTAGTCTGCATTCACTTGTAGTTTTTGTTCGTGCGTTCCACTTGTCATTGTTCACACTTTATCACTTCTTAGTTGTCACGATGTTCTGCATTTTTGTTCCCATTCAGACTTCTGAGGCCATACTGTATTTACACCTTCACCACTTTTCAATCACTTATTCTTTATTAAATCCAAGTTTATACTGTTTGCTCTTTTTGTCCACATTCCCTTTTAGCACTTAATCAGTCATCACACTTAGTTCACGAGTCAGTTCTCCTTCACAAAGGTTCTATTTCCATCAACATTCACTCTTGTTTAATAATCTCAGTTCACATTTGTACTTGTTCAATTGTAATAAAAATTTGCAATGTACTGTTAACATTCACACAATTTTTCCGCCACCGTCATCATTCATGCAGGTCCACTTTTCAATGCTCATTTGGCCTTAGTTCCTTCAATTTGAAGTCCAGTACATTATGTTATACAATTTCAAACTACCCCTTCCATTTGACTTAGTTCCAGCAAGTCATTTGGTTAGTCAGCACAAATTTCTTCTTGATTTTATTATTTCTTTTTAACTGTAGTAGCAATTGGTAGTAGTTCATTAAGTGACAGCCAAGTCAGTTAACAGACTTTGGGGAGTTAAATGTTGCAACTACTGTTATTTCGTTTTCTGTAATTGATGTGTGGAGATCTGTGGTATCAAAGGCCTAGGAGAAAGTTCACTTGATCCCTGCATGGGAAGTACCATACGCAAAGAGGAGGGGGGAGGGCAAATACACACACACAAGGGTATATTATATACAGTATATTACAGTATTCTAAATAGATAATGTATAAATAATGTTAGTAACTTGGCACTCCCAAGGAATAAATCTACCAACTTGCGTGCCTCAGCTAAGCAGCAGCTTGATCGCATTTGTCATTTCAGGGGACGGAGGTTCTACTACAGCCCTTATTAATGGCCGCATGTGGAGGAAATGCGGAAACAGGTGGTTGCAGATCCATACTTCCGTAATTGCTTTACTTAATATCAGTTTTTTGTTTTTTTGTTTTTTTGCAAAGGCTTTTTCCTGTGAAGGTATTAATATTACCCTTGACCGATTCCCTCTTTTCTGGTAATTTGTGGTAAATAATAAGACAGTTTATAACTTAATTTATTATGTGAGTGGGGTGTAAATTTCTGATAGGGGGGGTGGGGGGCTTTAGGTAGTTTTATTTATTTTTTTTTATCTTTAATTTCCAGGGGTCTTCTTATTCTCGCTTTGGTTGCTACTGGACACAGTTGTATGTGTCATGACAAAAATAACTTTTCCCCCTTTTTTTTATATGGGTTGGGTAGATATGGAAGTTAATGTGACTTGATCAGCTGGTGTTTAATACTTAGTGATTAATGCAGTATTAGTAGTGTGTATAATCCCTGGATAGCCTTGACAATAAGTTGGTACTCATAATGAAATATAATTTTGTAAGATTCAAAGCACAACACTTGTGCATAAGTAGGATAATTGCTGATCTTGTCACAGGTTGGAATGGGATTAGATTTAGTGGTAAGCCTATCTAACCCTTCCTTTTCAGCTCTGCAATAAAGGCAATCACAGGGATTTCATATTTTTCATGTTGAAGCATGTAGTAGACTCATGTAATTTCAGCCATAAATATCAAATACTCCTTGTCTCTGTCGCTGTGTGTGTCTCATCAAAAGGGTTTGGAATTACATGAGATAAGTACTAATAATTTATAGTGACTGGTCTTCTTTTGACCTAAATTTGCTCACCTGTGATTGCCTGGCATCCCCAAAGGAGGTTGGAGATTTAAAAAAAAAAATGTATCAAAATAAGTTAATGAATAAAAAAAAAGCAATTTTTGACAAAAAAAGATTAAAAAGATTCACAAGGGAAAATATACAGATTAGATAAAAAAAAAGATGTTAAGGTCAGAAAAGAGGAACATTGTAAAGACATTAATAAATGAATTGTTAAATTTTTTTTATTTCATATACCTTCTTATGACAAAAGTCTGAGTGTTTGTGACCTTATTTTTATTTTAATAATTTGATAAAATATTTTCAACACTTGAATGTAGTATTTAGGAATATATCTAATTGAATTTGCTGAATCTTTCATCTTATGACATCAAGCAATTACTTGAACTGTGACAAATCTTGGTGAAATTTTATTTATTTTTTCCAATACCAGTAATTTACTGTTGTAACTGTATGCCATATAGTACTTTATCCAAAAGAAATCCTAGAAGAAAATGTAGTCAGTTGTGGGGGTCAGTAGACTTAAGGGAAACATACAATTTCCCACCATTTGGTGCCTTATTGAATAACTGCAGTTGAAAGTATTACAGTTAGATGGAATGATACAGATGGGTGATAAGAAAGTATAGCACCATACAGGGTATTATGGAGAAATATGGAGTCCTAGGATTGAATGGATATGGAGAGAGAGAGACTGATGGAAATGTGTGTTGCAAGACGAATGAAAAGAGGTCGCAATTATGCATGGAGGCAGAACTATAAGCAGTAGTACTGTAGTGTGTTGTTAAACTATTAACAGAAGAGTAAAATGTCTTAATCAGAGGCGATTATTTGGTAAAGGTACAGTAATGATAATAGGGAGAGGAAGGTTCACGATGAGATGTTCAAAGAACCTGAAAAAATAGGTCTTTGGCTGAAAATGAAAAGAAAAATTAAACAGGTGGAGTGTGGGTATAAGAGAATGAAAATGAAAATCAAGCTGAAGGAGAGGATGGACTTATGAAGAGAAGGAAGTGAGCATTATTACAAGTATGGGGTTATGAAGTAAGAGGAATACAGGGATATTAAAAGGAAGTAAAGAGAGTGGTGAATGAATGCAAAATCTGTAAATGAAAGGTTTTAAAGTGACAAGTTTTTCTGGACGGAACTGAATAGGGTAAGAAAATTAAGAAACAAATGAACATGGCTAAGATTGCAGGAAATCACTACTGTATAGTACTGTCTGTTGTCAAAAGAGGGGTATGGGAAGATTATTAAAAAACTTTTAAATGCGTATGAGGAGGGAAGTTGAGTTATAATGTTTGGGATAGGGTGAAAGAGGAAGAAGTGAAAAGTAAGGAAAAATGAAATTGGCTGTAAGCAAGCTCAAGTGGTCAGGCATTGGTTGTTGTTGGAGTCGTTGTTATGTTCATGATAGAGGTGGAAGAGTGATATGGATGCAAGTGCACAGGCTGTGTGCATGGCAAGAAGGAAGAACACAGAATGGCAGATAGCATGTACAGGGGGAAAGATAACAGAAATGTATGCAAAAATCATGCAGGAATAAGTTATTTCATGTACTACAGAATGATTATGGAAGTTACTATTGAAAGCATTGTAGCTAAAACAAGTTTAACAGGGAATTACATAGATCAGAAAAGGCTTTCATGGAAGAGCACATGTGAAAAGTTTGTGGAGAAATGGGAGAATTTGTTTGTAACATTTGTGGAGCAGTATGCTGAATGTTGTCCAAAGTTTCAGTAGAGATATGGCTCCCAATGAAAGCAGAATTATAATAAAGGATGTGTAATGCTGCTGAGGGTTTTTAAGAGGAAAAGGCAAGATTAATGGAGAGAATGCAAGTTTGGTAAATAATAATATGGGATGCAAGTGGAAGGCGAGTAAGTTTGTATTTGCAGTTGAAACTGCTCTAGTGGGTGATACAGAAGAAACATTGCAAGTACTGTACAATGTTTGTAGTCAGGAGAAAATAAATATTAAAACAAAAGTAAACTGGGTAGAATAAATAAAGGAGTGTTTGAATGGAGATAAAATGGATGAATTGAGATGTCTCAGATACCTGATTGTGGATGTGTCTGTAAATGGAACAGTGAAGGATAAATATGTTGACAGTAGCAAAGGGGAAGAACGAGGTGCATTGGGAAATGTTTGCGAAGATGGCATGAGCATAATGACAGAATGAGAAATGAAATACTAGTGGGAAGTGTATAAATCAGAGGTGGATAGTAGAAGAGAGAGGAGGAGACCAAGGAGATGCAAGGATGGAATGAAAGCCACACAAAACATGAAGGTTAAACTTCCAGGAAGGAGCCGAACAATTTATTTTTTATAATGTCCGATATTAAGTGATGGGTTTAATTAGGTTGTGGACAGGGTTTTATCACAATACTTCTACAAAAGTAAAAAATTGGTGATACTGTACAAAGGTTGAAAAGAGACGGGACGTACGCTTAATTTATAGCCACCCCACAGTCATGGGAAGATGTTTGAAAGAGTTGGGGGTAAAGTGTTCATTTTAGCAAGGTGAATTGCCACCTTGTCCAAGTAACTTATCTTATGCATTTTTATCAATCTGTCTTGATAGGGAAATTACCCATAACCATATCTGTCCATAAACTATTCTTGCCTACTCCATAGTTTTGAGCTGGTGAAAATTAACAACCAGATCTGTACTGTATGTACCATCACTCTTGAGGATATGTACAGCAACCATGTCCCTCCACCAAAACTCAAGATCTTCATTGAAATAAAGATGTAATAATGGTTCCAAGTTGCATGTTGGCCCTCAAGGCATACATAGTATTACTGCATTCCCACATAACTGAATTGTTATGGCAGGATTATTTGTAGCTGATCCCTTTGATAAATTTGAAATGTATTGCATTCTTGATCCTCATTCCGTGTGTCTTCTCATCTTTTACATGAACCTCCAAACACTTGGTGAAGTGATCTGAAGTGATTTTAAAAATAGACAATTTTATCCAAAACAAAAAGATTTTTATGTAAGTTCTGTGTAGAGTACAGTATTAAGAAAGTTTAGCCTTGGCAGTATAAGTGATGAATCAGTTGACTCAGGTGCACAGTGTGCATAAAATGCCAGTGTTGGCATGAAATACTGGTTGATTCATATAGGTCCTTGGTTCATTTACTGTATAGTTACGTATCCATAATCTATCCTTAAGAGACCAACTGATTTGGTTTGTTTTTTCCTTCTCTCTAATACATCTTGCCCATTAAGTGTTTAGAGAATGGTAGACTCAAACTATTTCAAACTTACTGGATACTGTATGTTCATCAGCTGTATATGAAGAGCTGATTATTTATGTAGGTTAACCCAATTTCACTCTCACTTACCTGCAAAACATGATAGATATTCTTAGTATTTGTCCAATTGGTATTATACGAGTGCAAAAGTCAAGGGAGTTTAAACCTGCAGGATAGGTTTCCGAGCAAGTGATGTAAAGCTGATTTACTTCCAGGGTTGTTGTTAGGTAGCCATGACCTTGGGATAGGGAGGGAGGGGGGTTAGATATGTGGCTGCCTGTCACATAATATAGTATAACTTGCACTATTCCATCTTTCTCTGTTTTTTTATGCTTTATTTCCTCTGAGACCTCTTCTGTCCATAGTTAAATTTATTTAAACATATCTCCTGGTCAGATTTTTTTTTTTAAGTATTAAAAACCTTTCAGCCTCGAGAACAGCGTAACTTTTCAGTCTTTCATTATCTACGCGAATTCTTTGGAACTTAAAAATGTGTAACCCATCCATTAAAATGGGAATCTATTCCCCTCAGTCTGAAGACCCGTGTCAGTTACCTCATCTCTAAATTATGGAGACTGAAAATAACTTTTTAATCACCTTGAAAGATAACCTGTTTATCAGACACATTTTATCCATGCATTTATATTTGGGTAAAACTGAATGTTTACCCATTAGTGTTGGAGAGCCCAGGTCTTGCCCCAAAACTTTTTTCCTATAACATTAACTTTACATTAACTAGAGCTAATTATGTATTCTTTTGAAATCAATACATATTAAATTGCTAGAACTATTTCATATTAACTTTGTATTTAGTCATGTCATTCTTTTTAGGAAGCCATAACTGCTCACACATACAACCTTCATCTCCTGTTTATAGAAATGCATTCCAATCCTCTTTAACCTTCTCTAATAGAAACCACACAGAAAGCCCATCACCTCAGTAACCCTCTAGCAGGCAGGGGCTCCTCTCAGCTGTAAAATCGTCTGGCGTTAGCCAAATTAAAATGCTTAAGGGATACTTTGCCCGCTAAAGGGTTAATGACAATTTGCACTTTCATTCTGCAACACACACTTGCCCAGCATTGAGTTTCACCACTTTCTCTGACATTGCTTTATTTGCAAATGGTCATCATAAGCAAACTTTTCAAACTACTGTACTGTGTCTTAGTGTAGTTAATTGCATGTTTTATATATATATATATATATTATATATATACTTTTTTTTTTTTTTTTACGGTATTCCACTACCTCCTCATTATTTTAGCCGAATGACCATAGTTATTCAAAATCGGATGACAGTAATTACTGTAATGACAAATGGCATATTAAAGTACCTGTACACATTATATCACAATTGAAAGAACCCATCAATTAAGTTACAATATCAATCAGATTGATACTAACTGCTTGCACTGGAAGAATATCAATATAAATGAACCAAACAAGGAACCAATCAGTTTACACAAAGTCAAAAGGTTATCTTATCTGTTGACTATAAAAAAATAAGTAAGACTTATGCCTGTCAGTCTGTCCATCTATCTGCTATCTACTGTACATCTAATGAGTTTATCCATGTACACCTCTGTTCTGACAGTTTTAAACACATCCTCTACATAAGCAAAAGGAATATTGGCTGTTGCAATTTTTGTAAAATAAAGTCAAGTTTAAGGGTGATTAAATTTAGTCAACGCTGTTTCTCTTAATATCACTTGCTAGTGTTTGCCTTCCATTATTACTTTTGAAACTTTTCTTAGTTCAACTGGTCTCTGCTACAACTAATGTAGATGAATGTTTTTCCTGATATTTTCAGGCTTTCCCTTTTAAATTATGTAAGGACACGTACACCTACTCCTGTGTATAGCAATTTCACTTATCAATTTATTTAAAAAAAAAATCTGGATCATTCCTCAGAATGATCCAATAACGTTTTGCCATATAAAATACAGTATGGCTAA